GTAACATAGTCAAATAATTTATAAAGAAAAACATTTATGATTTGAGAATTTAAAACATCTGGTTCTGACAGTTCTTATAAACACAAGGAAATGGATCTTTTGGAGGAAAACCTATAAATCAGGTACTGAATCACAAAATAAAATAGACAAAGGAATTGGGTAGACCTCTCATTTGCTAAAAACATGCAACAGGAACTGACAATGAAAGATATCTCAAACTAGAGCTTTGGGAGATTACAACTCTGAATAATTATCTGCTTTGAATAAAAAATATTGCTAGCATGCAATGACAGAGTGAAAGATTACTGCCTTGTTATATTTTTAGTAAACATTTATTTTTTTTTCTCTTTTATGTTTTTGGCATTAAGCTATAGAGTGATATCCCTCAAGTAAGGTTTTGGGTGAATTCCTAAATGAAATCCACAAAATAAGAAACAGGCAAGACATTGTTGATTCTTTCCAGACCTAAATAGCATATAAAGACTTCCCTCAACATGAGAAGTTAACTTAAAATGTTGAGATTTAACATTTGTATCAAAGTGCATATAAAACTTTCTTAAAATACTTTAGAAGCTAATGTCTGTTATTATTGTAGACAAAAATTGTTAGTCCCAATAAATAAATCAATATAGATTCCAAGCATGATGAATAAAGGGATTCAAGTTATTTGATTCTCTTATTTACATTTTCCTGAAATTATTTGCTCTGGGTATGATTTATGAAACATTTAGATGAACATGAGAGTTGGCTGAGAGAATCGTTCTTAAGGTTGCTACAACCAGAGAAATGAAGAGAGTTCTGTTTGTAGGAGAAATGTTCTTACTGCCAATTGCTTCATTTGCAGCAAGATTCAATACATGGTTAAAAGCTATGGTATTTGGCTAGTGAAGCACGTATCTCTCTCTTCCACTCCATAGGGAATGAGCTGGGCTGTCCTTGCTCTCCACGTCCACCTGCACTTCGTTAGAGAGCAGAGCTTTCACATGCCACACCACAAGATCCCCACAATGAAATAACTCCATTCAGAGACTGGCGTGACTGGGCTGGGTCCCCTCACCCCAGCTCTTGTATCATTAAGAATCTGGCAGCCAGTTCCGTCCTGACAGAGTTTACAGCATATATTGGTGGATTCTTGTTCTTAGTGCATCTGCTTTAAGAATTAACGAAAACAGTGTCAAGACAGCAAGGTAAGTGCTGTTTTAAGTATAGCACTGGGATGCTGACTATTTGGGACAGTTACTTATTGTAACAGAAACAGAAAAAATTCCAGAGCAACTTTGCCAATTGCTAGTCAACAGCAAATCCAGAGTTTACTTTCATGCTTTGCTTATTAAGCTTTCCATATTTTATGGATTTGAGATACATTTTATACAATGTGTTCTGTGTTCTTTGGCAAAAAAAGTTATAAAAAGTGGGAATGGAAGATACATAAACTAGACACAGTATGGAAAAAGTATGGAAATGAAAATATTAGTTTATGCAACTTAGTTATTTATTTTAGTATTATTACAGCCCAGTTGGGTAGTAAAGAAAGGAAGTTTTAATTAGTCTTCAGAATATTTCATTTTGCAATAAATAAATTGTTGTTATAATTTACAATGAAAAGTTTATCTTCTTATGAAGTGTAAGTTAAAGGCATAAATACTCTGGCTTGCTTATATTTAATTTGTTTTTTTGGATGTATGTCTTAAGGAAAATGTTTTAAAGAAATTCTTGAAAATATAATATCCTTTTTGAAAGTAGCATTTTCTATAGCCACAGGTATTTGAAAACACTGAGGGACAAGTACAGTGAGCTTTTACTTCACAGTGGAGTCATTATATGGTTACAAACTCTCTTTGAATTCAGAGCTTTTGCTTTTACTTTGCCAAAAAGTATGGAAGCATTTTGCATTACTATTCAATAGTTGCATTGTAGTTACCATGACTATTTTGGTGCATGTTCAATTTAAAGTAAGGGGAAAGCTTACTAATGAAGCAAGACAAATCTGCACAATACTAACATCTTAACACAAAGAATTCTAGGAATATGCCATCATGGTCTTTTTGTTGCTATCCAGTTGTCATGGCCAAGCCTTGTCAACTAAGTGTAAATGACCTCTATGATCATCTTAGGGAATAACTTCCTAAGAATCTGGCCACATATATTATATTGTGTCAGCCACCAGAATGTTTCTAATAATTTTTTGAGTGTTTCATTTGCTGAAATAAAGTGCTTTAAAATGCCAAGTGAAAACACAGAAAAGATGTTTAAAATTCCTGCAAACAAAAATTCTACTTAACTAAACTACCTAAATACAGAGGCATGTATCATACTTCTCACAGAAAGATACAATATACTATGGTGCCTACTGGAATATGGATTCTTCTTCACTTGAATTATTTCTCTCCCAGATTTACCACCTTGTCCTGATACATAATTCTTCTATCTAGAAAAGTCCAGCTCTTGAATCCTAGATTCCTTTTACCTAAGTTGTTGTCCCTTTTCCTGCCCCCAAGGAATTGGAATATACTTTGTTGATCCTCACATCAGAAAAATATTCATTTGAGAAAATAACTGTTAGACATTGTTTTTTAAATTTATATTCTCAATTTTATCCTTGGTTCTGAATGCATGGTTCTTAATGCCAACGTTAATACAAACTTTGTTCAGTTCCCACCTACTTCCCACTTCTATATTGTGATGCCAACAAAATCCTAAAATAAATGAACAATTATCATCTTAAATTTTGACATGAAGAAAGCAGAGAGCTTGTGATTTATTGACAAAGAAGAAAAATGTATTTCAAAATAAGAAACAAACAAACAAACAAAAACCTTCTTTACCAGTAAGATCTCTTGCTAGATTTAGAAATTCTTAGAATTTCTGAACTTTTCCTGATTAATTATTTACATTTACCAATTATTGGTTTCACAGCATAGATTTTCAATGCCCCTAAAAGTATAAAATATAATACAAAAGTTGGAAATACATGCTCACAAACACCCACCCCAAAATTCTCTTTCCCTTCTTCAAAACCAGCAATGAATAAACTGGACACTTATCACATGAGAACAAGTTTTCCCCAGGCAAACCCACAGACTGCCAATGATCTCAGTAAGGGCCTTCCCAATGAGATATTTTAATTGACATGGAATGGTAAGGTAGAGTATACTGTTTACTGTTGTAATTTATATTGTATTTATCCAGGTTTGAGAGGTGCTCTAAAGTAGTGTTCTAACATGGTGGCCAATGAAAACTGCCTAGAAACGTCTCGTAGGAACCCATTTACATAAAGAAGGAGCCAGAGAGGTTGACTGGAATAATTAAATCTGATTCATCTGCAAGAGGAACGCTAGGGGTGCAGTGGCTAAAGTGCTTGGCTGGTAACTAAAGTATATGGCAATCTGCTTCCATTATAATGATTTGCAGTCTTGTAAACCCTATGAGGGCAGTTCTACTCAATCCTGTAGGGTCACTATAGTTGGAATAGACTTGACAGCAATGGGTTTAGTTGGCCCTATGATTCACCTCAGAAAGGGTTGTATGTGTATGCAATCTAACCTGAAACCTGTCTACCAGACAGTCTGTTACTAACCACCCTCATCGTTGTACTTAAATAAAAGTGAAAAAGACATCATTTGATGACTAAATATAAAATAATAAAATGCACATTATAAATTAATTTACCATTGCAAATCAAATTTTCCTTTCCTGAAAGCATATTATTTTATAGTAATGTATGTTTTCACCTTATTTAGGAATCAAAGCATTTTTGAAAATGAACCTGAGTACATTCACTCTCTTGTTGGCATTAATCAGTGGTGCCAGTGGCACTTACTATGAGGATTATGACTTCCCCCTATCGATATATGGGCTCTCATCACCAAACTGTGCCCCAGAATGCAATTGCCCTCCAAACTATCCAACTGCCATGTACTGCGATGAGCTGAAACTGAAAAGTGTGCCAATGGTACCTCCTGGAATCAAGTATCTTTACCTCAGAAACAATCAGATTGACCACATCGAAGAAAAGGCCTTTGAAAATGTAACTGATCTGCAGTGGCTCATCCTAGACCATAACCTTCTAGAAAACAGCAAAATAAAAGGAAAAGTTTTCTCAAAACTGAAACAACTGAAGAAGCTGCATATAAATTACAACAACCTGACAGAGTCTGTGGGCCCACTTCCCAAATCTCTTGAGGACCTGCAACTTACTCATAACAACATCAAGAAACTCGGCTCCTTTGATGGACTGGTAAACTTGACCTTCATTGATCTTCAACACAATCAATTGAAAGATGATGGCATGTCAGGTGCTTTCAAGGGCCTTAAATCACTGGAGTACCTTGACTTGAGCTTCAATCAGCTGGCTAAACTTCCTTCTGGTCTTCCTACTTCTCTTCTAACTCTCTACTTAGACAACAATAAGATCAGCAACATCCCTGATGAGTATTTCAAACGCTTTAATGGACTACAGTATTTACGCTTATCTCATAACGAATTGGCTGATAGTGGAGTACCTGGAAATTCCTTTAATGTGTCATCACTTTTGGAGCTAGATCTCTCCTACAATAAGCTTAAAAGCATACCAACTGTCAATGAAAACCTTGAAAACTATTACCTGGAGGTCAATGAACTTGAAAGTAAGTAGAAAGCTGTGCCAGTATTTGACTGATTCGTCTTCAAGTTCATAAGTGTTCAGGTTGTGAATACAAATATTGCATCTGGCCCCATTTTTTTTTTTTTTTCAGTGGAAATGCTAACAAAATATCCTCCTAACTGAAACACAGAAGAATTCTAGCTCAGAAAATACATCTCATGTCTCGGTTTTCTTTGGAGTGTCCAGATAAGGGACCATTAAGATAATGAAATTTAAACTCTAATTTCTTTAAAATTCATGTTCTGGCCTAATTAATCCATCTGTGTTTTATTTTTATATTTATAAATTATTATTTTCCCCTCTATGACTGAGATATGTATACTACATTATTTCTTAGCAAGGTCTTGCTAAGGAAGGAACAAATAAGTCTAGAATAGCCAGCAGAGGCTTTGACATCTCCCACCTGTTTATCCCCAAAATAGCACCTATATGATCATGTTCTTCCCTGATAGCTGTAACTGGGCCTCAACTGTTTTCTATCATGTCCACCATCTACTTCTGTTATCCCAGTGGGAATGGCTTGTGTAACTTTCACAGTGCTCTGATAAGAGTTCTGAGGAAAATTAAGGAGGGCAGAAATCTGATAGAGGGAAACAACAGCTCATTTTAAAAAATAGATTACAGAGTTTTCTTTTTCTCCCACACAACATCTTTGTCTTTCTCTTCATTTATTTTTTCCTCCACAATTTCTCCTTCCCCTCTTTTGCAATGATACTTTATTTTTCATTATCTTCTCAATGGGAGTTTGACTTGATTCACTTGGACTTTTTATGCACTTGTCCAGGACATTTTTCAAATTTAAACATCCATATGAAGGTGAGAAATTGAAACTGACCATTCCCTACCTTACTTTTTGATAGAATTTAGCAGAAGAGAAAATCTATGATTCATGGATAAATTAATTTTTGAATTTCATTTTTGAAATTAAAAAATCAGTTGGGAAACACTAATTTACACATAAAACACTTATATGTTTCAAATAATTTATTAAAATTGAACATCTTTATCTGACAGAAATTGGGTCTCTTGTCATACTAGATAAGGATATAGATTTTGCTATCAGAAATATATATAAAATGTATCTTTTGAATATGATACTTTATGATACTGCAAGAGTTTCATGTAACTCCTAGTTGAGTTGGGTATTCTAATGAAAGAAACCATGACTGCCAACTTGGAAAAGCTACATTGTCCTTGGTTATATCTGGACAGCAGCCAAGGTAAGGGTTGATGCTACTTGATTGACACACAATATATAGTCAAGCTATCATAGCTGAACCTCTACAGTTATTCTCAGGGAAACATTCACTATGTGGTAATATGTATTCCCAATTTTAAACATTTTTGGTTAGGAGGAAGGCCATTCTAGCGAACTAAAATGCTAAATAAAGGATGTTAAGACAGTTGAAGGCTGAAGAAATCCACTAGACTTGATGGATAAGCCCCAGGATCAAAGCTACTTTCTTTTCTGAGACAGAAAAGAGAGAGATGGAAACACAGGCACATTTGAAATCATAAAGACCAGGTCTTGTATGAGTAAAGGATGGAACGGCCAGTATGAGAAATAGTGAAGGGAGAAATGCCAATCGTCATTCTGTGCCAAACTGATACTGCAACCACAGAGTAACCATTGCATAATGAATAGTTTCCTTTCTTTCTTCCCGTTGACATTTTGTCACGTATTCTTGTTTTCTCTCTTTTATGCTTCTCCTTAATTTAGATGATTTTTTTTCCAGATAAATATCATGCATATCAATTCCTCTAAAATTAAAAGAGACCATTAATGTTTTTTTTTAATTTTAGGAAATGTATACCCAAAAAACAATATCTCGTATTTTAAAGTTGTGACCTTAAGTTTTGACCTAATCATAACTCCTCTACCTACCAATTAATATGGTGAAAAGAACAAATAAAAGTACTGATAATAATAGGATGGCAGAACTACTTTAACTGTTAGACTACTAAAGGTTGGTAGATTGAACACGCCCAGACGGGCCTGGGAAGGCAGCCTGGTGACCTTCCGAAAACATCAGTCTTGAAAAGCCTATGCAATATTTCTACTCTGCATTCATGAAGTCCTCACAAGTTGGAATCAATTCATTCAATTCCACAGCAACTAATAACAACATGTGTTAAACAATGTTAAATGCTTTACATACTTTAAATATTAAATTTGTAGGGAACATTATGAGTTTAGAAGGAAGTTCAAATAAATGTTCCAAGGTCACTCATCTGGTAAGTGGCAAACATGGAATTCCAGTATTAAGCCCATATTTTCATCCATTGTCCCATACTTTCTCTGGTGATGTAGGGCCTATGGCATTTGACTGCTAACCGGAACACTGGTAGTTCAAACCCACCAGCTACTCCTCAGAAGGAAGACTGGGCAATCTACTCCCATTGAGATACCACCTCAGAAACCCAATGAGGGGTTGTTATGAGTCGGTACTGACTTGATGGCAGTCAGTTTGTTTTTTTAAATACTTTCTCAGAGGTTAGTGGGAGCTCTGGTAACGTAGTGCCTAAGGCACTTGACTGCTAACCAGAAGGCTGGCGGTTCAAATCTGCCAGCCACTCCCCAGAAGGAAGATGGGGCAATCTACTTCCATAGTGATACTCTTCAGAAACCCAAGGAGGGGTCGCTATGAGTCAGGTCCCACTCGACCACACATAACAACAACAAACAACAGAGGTTTGTATGATAAGAAAGATCATTAGAATTAGACTGATAAGTTATTTAAGACAGCATCTTAAAGCAGTACAGTGTATTTGGGCTTCCCTTGAAACCTTTGTTAACTAGAATTTCAGAATGAAAGAAGATAACGAGCTAAAGGAGGAGGCAAAATTAATCTGTAATAGGCTTGAGCAAACTACTACAGTTTCTATGTGCACACGGACTAAGCAACCCAGTAACAGTCTTAGCATTGCCTTCATGGCAGCTTAGTCACAGAAAGAATGTGGCACAGATGGTGGATTATTCCACGATTTGGTTTTTGGCTTGGGGTTGTCATTTTCACGATACGTTGGCATTGGTAGATTCTTTACAGAGATTATCTAGATAACATCTTGTATTTTAAGGAATAAAAGCAGAGATTATATTGGTTAGATTGTTCATTCAAGAGCATCACGTTATATTTCTTCAGGCTACACTAAATATCTCAAAAGAGTTCTCAGATAATGTCATACATTTATTGCCTTTCTAAAATTAATTTCTAATAACACAATAAATAAGTTACATTTCCTTGAAAAATTCAGTTGAATATCTTGATTTAGCTAGTTACTCTTGAGTAAATGTTGTTGTTGTTGTTCTGTGCCGCTGAGTTGGACCCGACTCACAGTGACCTCTCCTTGGGTTTCCGAGGCAGTATCACTACAGAAGTAGATTCCCCCCTCTTCCTTCTGAGGAGTAGCTGGTGGGTTTGAACCTCCAGCCTTCTGGTTAGCAGTCAAGTGCCTTAGGCACTATGCTACCAGAGCTCCCGAGTAAATGTTACACCATTTTATAATTTAAATATGTCTTCAATAGTCTACAATTCAAAAATACACAGTGTAAGTGACTATTCTAAATGGGAATAAGTCCTATTAAACCATATTTTACACTTGAGGAGTATTTCATCTGACCGATTGTTTTGAGTCATTTTATTAAAAAGAAGTATTAAAATTCCTCATTCTCTGTGTTTTTCAGAGTTTGATGTGAAGAGTTTCTGTAAGATCCTGGGACCATTATCCTACTCCAAGATCAAACATTTGCGTTTGGATGGCAACCGCCTCACCCAAACTAGTCTGCCACCTGATATGTATGAATGTCTACGTGTAGCAAATGAAATTACCTTGAATTGATATCTTCTAATTTCAGTTATATTGAGGTGTATCCTGGAGCAACCCTTTATGGTTATGATTTTTGTGTCATTTTTCATTATCCTTTTTGAAATGTTTCTTACATCTATGAATTTTAAATTTTGAGGAAAAATGTTTTGTAAACATTTTACCTTTTTTTTTGAGAGAGAGAGAAAAGATGAAAGGCTGGCCTATTTCATCATGAGCATACATACATGCACACACATACACTCCCAACTCACCACTATTTGTAAATTTATTATTTTGGAGATCACTCCTGTCAAATGTTATATATAGCCTTTTACTGGTTTCATGGAAGTCAGTCAAATTTTATAATCTCCAAATCTTAATGTGACAAAAAGCAAGGACTACATAAGGATGTCTTCTGTCTTGAACCAAATCATCTCAATATATTCAATTTGTTTCACAGAAAAATAAATGGTATATTTTAAGACCAATGATTTTGCAAATTAGAAAAAATTCATGAAGCCGGATACATTTAAAGAAGTATTTTTAGTATTAAAAATTTACATGCTTATCTAATGAAGTTTTTTTCTAGAAATCTAAATAATGTATATGTTTCTCTTTGATTATTTGCATGTTATATTTAACAAGTTAATAGCAAAATAAAACATAGCAAAAGACATCACTGTGTTCACTTATTTTGTGAAATGCTTTTCTCTTGTACATAAAAAAAATCACAAAAGTATAGTTAGAAGTCAAACGATATCTCTAGCACATAGTATGTTACTGATGTTAACATATAATTTTCTACTAAATAAATAATTTGATTCTACATCCACTTGGAAGGAGTTTTTAAATTCATCATACAATATACATTTATATTTCACAACTTGTTTGGCTATTTCCCATTATTCCTATTTGTCTTGGTTTTGCCATTGGCAGTGCTGTGGTTAAGTGGTTAAGAACTTGGCTGGTAATCAAAAAGTTGGTGGTTTCAAACCACCAGCTGCTCGACAGGAGAAAGATGTCACAGTCTATTCCTGTAAAAGTTACAGCCTTGGAAACCCCGTAGGGCAGTTCTACTCTGTCCTATAACATTGTTAAGTGCTAGAATTAATTTAACTGCAACTGATTTGGATGTTGTTGTTGCTATTGTTATTAACTTATACGCCATTGCAAATGCTAAATTAAATCTTGTATAAAAACTCAGCAACCACCACTTGATCATTAACCAAAAATTGGTAGAGAATTCCTAGATTTGAAAATGTTGAGAGTCTGTAAATTTTTGAAAATAAGACTTTATAAATCAGTGTATCTCAAAGCCAATATATTTGAAATATAGAGTTTGAGTTCATAACCCAGGAATAGCAGCTCTCAGTTTTCTAAACATGTGTTGTTGTTAGGTGCCATCAAAGTGGCTCTGACTCACAGTGACCCTATATACAACAGAATGAAATATTGCCCTTTTCTGTACTATCCTCAAAATCCTTGCTCTACTTGAGCCCATTGTTGCAGCCACTGTGTTAATCCATCTCATTGAGGGTCTTCCCCTTTTTCACTGACCCTCCACTTTACCAAGCATGATATCCTTCTCCACAGTATGGTCCCTTCTGACAACATGACCAAAGTTGGTGAGATGAAGTCTGGCCGTTTTCACTTCCAAGGACCATTCCAGTTGCACTTCTTCCAGGATGGATTTGTTTGTTCTTCTGGCAGTCCATGGTATTTTCAGTATTCTTTGCCAACACCACAATTCAAAGGCATCAACTCTCAATCAGTCTTCCTTATTCATTGTCCATCTTTCATATGCATATGAGGCAATTGAAAATATCATGGCTTAGGTCAAACACACCTTGGTCTTCCGAGTGACATCTTTGCTCTTTAACACTTTAAAGAAGTCTTTGGCAGCGGATTTGCCTAGTGAAATATTATGTCTGATTTCTTGATACTTTTTACCACAGATTAAAAAAAAAAAAAAAAACTTGCTGCCATCAAGTGGATTCAACTCATAATGACCCCTCCTTGGGTTTCTGAGGAGGTATCTTTACAGAAGTAGATTACCTAATCTTCCTTCTGAGGAGTTTCTATACTCAAGTATCACTTAGTCAATGCAATGGCAAATTCCATTTAGGTTCCAATTTATTTAGTTTAGCAAGTTTATTTAGTTCCAATTTTCCTAGTTAATAAGAAATTCTCTGTTTGGAGCAAAATATGCAGTCAAAAATATATTCTTCCCATATGAGTGTTTCTATAGCAACATATGTACCTAAAACAAACATCTCTTTATAGCATAATACATTTTAACACAATATTTTTAGTGCCATATTTATCTTATGGCAAAATGACTTATCTTCTAAAGACCAACATCGGTTAAAAAGGAATTGACTGATAGACATGTGAGAAATGATATTATATTAGGTAAACTAGGTAGTTTTCATTCTCATGCCTTTTGTACATAAAGGTAAGTTTCTTGAGATGTGATGCACTTAAAGTCCCTCTTTTTCCTCAGTAGACCTCAGTTCCAACTCATAGCAACTCCCATTGGGTTTCTGAGGCTGTAGAGGTAGATTGTCCCATCTTCCTCCCATGGAGCAGCTGATGGATTTGAACCACTGGCCTTTTGGTTAGCAACCAAATGCCTTATCTACTACACCACCAGAGCCTGGTGAAACCTATGCTACAAAAGAAACAAAAGTAAATTTACCCTCTCCTATCTATAATAATTCACCATCAATCGATTGAAATGTATTCCCAAGGAAGTAGTAGAGGGTGTGCCATGAAATATCTTTCATAAAGTATTTGATGAAGTTAAAAGAACTTCATCTCTTTATACCAAGGAAAAACATCTCTTCTTTCTTAGCTGGCAGTGTACATCCTAACAAGCCTTTGATACATCTCTATACAAAGTCTTACGTCATTCTTAAACCAAAACGCAAAGCTGTAACTATTAAAACACTAATACCGTTTGTAGTTAAAGTCAGTTGAAAAGAACCTAATCAAATATAGACTGACACTTTTTTATCTCTTTAGATTCTTATTTCTCAAATAGGCTACTGTGGCTGATTGTACAAGCATCTGAGAATGACACTATTTAGATCCAATTCCACAACAGCTCTGCTTTTTAAGAGGGTAGAGAGAGGGAATGGTCAGCTACGGTGTAAATTTAAAACAGGAGGTCCTCTCAACAACCATGATTTTGATGTTGTGTCTTTCTGGGTAAACTGCTCCATGAATTAAAGCAATGAAACAAGTAGATTCTTTCTTTCTGAAAACAGTCACTGGAGACTTAACCACATTTACTCCCCGATTTGGGAATGGGACATGTGGAAAAATGGGAGGGAAATCCCCCTTTGCTTCAGACATCTACATTTGGAAAGCAGGGCTGTGTCCTTTATGGTAAAGGAGAACTATAATGTACTCAGGCTTTGAGGTTTGTAAGGAATTATCATGTCCTAATATGTCCAAAATATACAGATGAATAACAGACCACTAAATGAGCCAGAGGAATGTTGATTTCTTAGTTAAAAGTTCTCCAACTGGTAAAAGCTATGTTTTTGGAAATACTGGAGAATTTAAAAGGTTGGTTTTACAAAGGAGTATTAAATTTTTTCCTTGTGATCTTTTCAGTTTGGGTTCCAGTTTTTTCTATAACTGTAATTTTATCATAATGATGGCCTTGGATTTTTGTTTGGTTGGATTTTGCAACCATCAGGAATACTTGCTTAACATTTACTACCTAGTAGAAGAAAATGCTCATTTTTTTATTTAAAGTGAACTCTGAAAGCAACTTTACTGCCAAGAGTGAAATTTACATAAAATAGAAATATTATAAAATTTAAAACAGACATGGCATTAATATATGGAAGAGTATAAATAAATTTGTGTATCTAACAAGTTGTATTAATTTATTCAATCACTCAATTAATAGATTTTTTTCCCCAGATAAAGCATCAGAAGTTGAATTACAGCATATGTAGTGAAAATCAGAAACTTAAGCAACATAAAATGAGGTCCTATGCATCTTAAATTCTCTTTGATACATCATTTCACTTCTACTGTGCAGTAGATCTTTTTTTCAAATTTTGATTGGCCCAAAGATTATCATATAGATGTGTGTCTTGCCACCTTAATAGGTCCATCCATCACTGCAGCTTATATGACACTCCAGGATATCAAAGGCCCTTTGTGATATGATCCTGGTTTACCCCTTGAACCTCATCTCTTGCCAGCACCATACACCATACTAAGTTGCTTGAATTACTTCAGCAATGTTTACTACTTTGTACCTGATTATGGTCCTGTGTCTATGAAAACAATGGTTTCTTCTTAGTATACCCTACGTATTTTCACTTGGTAACACATATATATCACTCAAGATCCAGCGTAAACTACTCTATTCATTACTCTATCCATTCTTAATCCTCAAATAAGATTAATATAAATCATTTATCAAAGTTTTGAGCTGGAATTAGCAACTCTCTACATTGTGCTTCCATCTGTACATTTTACATTTATTCACTCTAAAAATATTTATTAAACTCCTGCTATATTTCAGTAATGCCTTTATGCAGTAGAGATTCTACAGTCAGTAAGACCAACAAATCTCTACTTTAGCAAAGTTGACGTTCATAAAGGATTCAAATGATCACATTCTATGACATGACCTCAGGTAATAATAAGGACTACGAAGAAAAAGATACTATCTGAAGGGACTGGACCACACAGATTTGAGAAGATGCTGTGTCATTATTTTTTTTTTTTTTATTTTTGAAGGCCTATCTGGAAAAAAGACTCAACAGTAATAACATTTATTTGATGATTGTCATGTGTCAGATACTGCAGGAGATGTTCTTCATGTATTCTATTAGCACAGACAATATCTATAAGATACATTCCTACTTAGCAGGGGAGAAAAATCAGGATTTAATATCAGACATATTTTAAGTGTTGGGACCTTCATTTGAGCCAGATCTCTGCTCTCAGTGTGTGTTCTCACTCTGGAAGCTCCCCTGGCATTACAAAGGGCTTAGATATGTTTA